ATGGACTAATGAAAAATGGAAATGCGTTATATTATCAGACGAGGCACAAGTATTATGTATCTTGTAGACATACACTGTGGTCGACCAATGAAAGAGACTTTCAACGCTACATCATTCCCACCTATAAGAATGCTGCTAAAGTTACGGTCTGATGATACTTTTGCATGATTATTGTTTCATGACAGAAGGAACGTTTTTTAATGGGACTCTCTATCTTGATGTACGAAAAAAGAAGTTGCCATAGTTTGTGGAGATCAACCAGCGCAGCCATTTGCATCATTATAGAACTCCATAACACTAACCAAGAGCCAAGTACTTTTAAGATGATTTGAAATGATGGGTGATTATATATATATATATATATATATATATATAGTCCATGAATTCATCAAATCTAATTCCCTTAGAGAACTGTTGGTTAATTTTAATCTCTATGATTGAGTATTGGGCAGACAACCCTGTAGATGTTGTGGGGTTAAAATAAAACACGTCTTAAAGGTTGCTCCGAGGGTAATCTCGTGGTAGTCAAGCATCATGAGTTGGTGGAAGGTAAGATGGTTCGTATAGAAGATGCCATAGCTCATTCAGTTACGAACTATGATGTCATTGGGGCATTTAGGGGCTGTCGCAAAATCATCCGATATTTTTCAGTATTCGTGTATCTTCACCTTCCATAGTTTACTCCACAGATGAGCTCTTAGGTGCAATGACTGCTGTCAGAATCTTTGTAAAACCATGTCTGTTAGGTGCAGGTAAGAGCCCGTAGCTCGATATAACCGACCTACTATGTGGCCATGATTGTAGTCATTCAATTGGCTGCAAGGTCTTCCGAAACTTTGTAATACATTATTGGTTGTATTTACAGGAAACTGTAACGTTGACATCGGGAAACGATAAAACCATCTGCAACTGTTACCAGTGTTAAAAAATGTAAAGCATGCAAGAAAAAACCCGTTGTGGTAGAAGTTAAAATTCATTACTCTTAAGAATTTTATCTTTTGTTTATTTGATGTAGTGAAATTTGCATGCAAAATTTGTACTCTTTTTTTTTTGGAAATGAGTGAGTGTATGTGGATGTTTCAGCTTGCAAAATAAAGGGTGTTTTTTTCCAGGTAGAGAAGTTTAAGTTGGCATTACTTTCCAATATGGCGACCGATTTAACAGCTGTCAAGTGATTTATTCTCAGTTTGGTTTGACAATTCATCAAAACGATCATCAAGCAAGGCGTAGATTCGTCGAATGGGCCCAAAACGAGATTGCCGTTGTTCCCGATTTTCATAAGTGAATTTTGTTTAGCGATGAAGCGCACTTCTGATTGAATCGCTACGTTATCAAACAAAACTGCCGCATTTGGAGTGAAGCTAATTCACAAGTGTATGTCGAAACACCGTTACATCCAGAAAAACTGACTGTTTGGTGCGCTTTATGAGCTGGTGGAATCATTGGTCCATACTTCTTCAAAACCGATGAAGGCCACAACGTTACAGTCAATGGTGATCGGTATAGAACCATGATTACTAACTTTTTCATTCCTGAATTGAACAATCATGATGTCCAGGAGCTGTGGTTCCAACAAGACGGCGCAACATGTCACACAGCTCGTGCCACAATCGATTTATTGAAAGACACGTTTGGTGACCGCCTAATTTCACGTTTTGGACCTGTGAATTGGCCTCCAAGATCTTGTGATTTAACACCGCTAGACTATTTTCTGTGGGGCTATGTAAAGTCATTGGTCTATGCGGATAAGCGACAAACGCTTGACCATTTGGAAGACAATATTCGCCGTGTTATTGCCGATATACGGCCACAAATGTTGGAAAAAGTCATCGAAGGCATCGAGGCAGATTGGACTACATCCGAGCCAGCCGTGGCAGTTCTATGGCAGAAATAATATTTAAAATGTAATGCCACAAGATTATCTTTCGAATAAAAAAAAATGTCATGTCAATCGAATAATACATCGTTGTTTTGTTGCAATTTAAAGTTCTATACCTCTAAAAAAACACCCTTTACTTCATTTTGAGTGTTTTGATTTTGTTTGAAATTTAAACAGTCATCAATGCTGTTGAATTCTTTTCATTTTAATATAATTCAGTACAAAGCAACGGTGTTGTAAATTCGGGGGATTCGAGTGCTGATACCACTAAAGATACTCTGTGTGGAGGGGCAGATGCCCGTTAAATCTGTCAAAGCTTAAACTCCTTTGGTTGGGTTGGTGTGAAATTTTAGATAGATGGATGTCACTGTATAGTTGTTGTCCTCGACATTTTGGCCACTGTTCAAATTTGTTGTACCATAGTTTTTGTGCAGCTTTGAAGTAAGACGTTAATAAACAATTTATCAATCAAAAAGCGAATGGTTAATTAAGAAAATTTAAGTTATTATTTTTCAAATTATTGACAGTGAATCAATTATTTATATTTTAACAATATTTTATCATCAAAGGCTATATGCACTTTCAAATAACATGAAAAAGTTTTAGGCACAGACGTTAGCGGAAAACTTTGACCGGAAACATAGTTATGTTCTCAACCTTGATTGACTTGTTAACATATTAACACACTTTGCACTAAAGATGCAAAATGCCTTGCTGGCCCTTTTCCAATGCTTTTCTCTTTGAGAACTTACTCTTGTTACATAAGGTCACAATTTGAAAGATGTTTATTGGCTCGCATTCGTGGAGTCCAATAAGTGTTTCAAGTGGAATTTCGGCCTCGTTGGTTTTAAGTATTCTAAGAATCGCTAAAACATTTTAAGTTTAACTTTCTAAGAATTATCAACTTTTGTATATATAGTTGGTTTCTATGTTAAGTAACTACTATCTCAAACACTCTTTAAAGATGAATCGAATTAATAATGCCATTTAAACATGCATAGCACGCGTTAAAAATTTCTCACGTGTGTTTACTTACATTTCTTGAATTTTCCTTTAAAATCTGAATTGTTAAATGATCTACTCAATTCTCTAGTATCGATTTGAAAATAAAAATTTATCTTTTTTACCGCTGTGTTAAAACATGACAAATTCAAGCTATAACATTTATTTGAGGGTTATTTTTCTACTTTAAAAACAAAATCGTGAAAAAGTTACATAAACATGAATCTGGTAGAATATTAAACACAAATTAAATGATCCATTGAGTTTTCATGACTCAATGTGTATTAACATATTCTTATATTTAAATATTTATAATTTGGTTATTTAATTTATTTAAGTTATTAAGTTACATAAACATGAATCTGGTAGAGTATTAAACACAAATTAAATGATCCATTGAGTTTTCATGACTCAATTTATTATTATATTCTTGTATTAAATATTTATAATTTGATAAAAAAGTTATTAGAAGTAGTATTATATTTCTCTAATTTTGGAACAAGTAATTTTTTTATCAAAAAAAATGTAAAATAAAGAACTTTTACTAAAATGAATTACAGACTTGTATTTACATAAGAAATAATTATTACGAATAGTCTTTAGAGAAAAATAATGTTCTTGAAAGAGAGAGAAGACAAAGAGAAACACTTTTTTATTTTTAAATCATTGCAATATACACCGATTGACTAATAAAAATGAATTAAAAAATATTCTTCTGCAGCATATAACAATAATAATAAAACTGAAACGTGTGTTATTCAAAGTTCTGTTCAGCATTATGGTGCGTGTATACTAAGAACATTTTTAAATAATATATTTTCAAATTTTGTGACTGTGCGGGCATCTAATATTTTAAACATGCATTCTCTACTGGAAATCATTTACATTTCTCAAGTTTGTTTTTTACATCTGTGTATTTCGTATTCATAGAAAATAACTTTACAGTATCAGATATTCTGAATCTGTTTTAAATAAGTAAAGCTTCTAAGAATGTCATCATAATTGACAAAAGGCTCAATTGAGAGACTTTATAAAATGTATTTTGTGTGATAAGCTTATGCAAATCCTATCGAATTTTGCATTATAGGAACCGAAATCTTGTTACGACTATAAAACAGTCTAAACTGTTAAAATACTTTACAGTCTAGAAGAATAAGAGAACTTTACTGAATTCTGCAGCAGAAGGTATTATATTATTGTAGGAAATATTTTGGGTGATATTGAGAAAGACTGTGTGGTAAGGGAATTTCACTGAATGTTGATATAATTTTTTTCCTATAACTTCTTATAAATCTTTTCTCTCTCTCTTGAGTGGTAACCAATTTAAGATATTTCTGAATAATTTTCATCTTCCTCAATTTTATTAGTAATGTTTTCAACTTTTGCTGAATCCATGAAATGAATGAAAAACTGACTAATATAAGTTATAGAGATAAATGCATAAGCCTAATACAGAGATTTGACTTTCAAAAGATTATTTTGTAAGATCTACAACCACTTTTTTATATAAAAATGGCTAAATGACTCGAGTCAAGCAATTCAATTTATACATTTAGAAAAAAAGTCAAAGATTGTAAAGCCTCTCAAAATTGCTTTTATCAAAAGGCCACAGACTAGAATTTTATTTTTCATAAAATAGAATTCAATACGAATATATATATATATATATATAATATATATATATTACATTATAACCCCACAATTCAACAGAATATAGGAAATTTCAATACACATTTTATTTCTTTTTGAACCAATCTATTTGTCATGTGCATTCATGAAGTTTTACATTTCACTTTACATATAGTAAAGCCGAATGGTTTTTTATTATTTATTTTCTAAAGCACAGAAAAATCCTTTTTCAATATTTCTACTATTAGTTCACAATCGTCCTATACAAATATATATATATATCTTCTTCAAATTTTCAATCGCAATAAAATACTTTTTATTCATCCATTCAAGTTCAAATATATTTTTATAAACTTGTAGTGGACGACACTTGATGTTAATACAGTTTTTTCAAGTATTAATTCATTAGCTAAACTTCATTAATGAATAAATAGAATAACAAAAAAATAATAGTCCAACACCATATATAAAAAGGAAAGTCACTCATTGTATTCCAGTCACGCAATGGATAGCGTGTTGAACTTCTAATCCAAAGGTCCTGTGTTCGAATGCTACCAGGAATGGTCTAATTCCTGAGAATGTAATTTATGAATCAATAAATAGTAACAAGCAAAAACAATAGTCCAACACCATATCTAGAAAGGAAAATTGCTTTCTATTTTACCACTTAATATTGGGATTCTGTCATATGCACATGCATATTTATATTAACAGGGATTATTTAATAAAAAGTAACTAAAATAATATTAGTCTTTGTTGACCTAAGTAAGAATTGACTTTAAAATTATTTTTTATATTACTTGTTGAATGTTTTAAAATCTTAAAATTCAGTATAGGAAATAATATAGTAAATATGTGCTACAAACGTGGGAGGCTATATACATTTGGACGTATTCTATCTAAGAAAATATCTCGTATTTGAAAAATTTTCCCTCTTTCTCTTTTGCTTCTCCTCTTTAACATTAGGCAAAGGTACATTAATAAATATAATATAAATTAACCGATTCAAGTATGTTTCAAACATAATTTGGGACAAATTATGGTTTAGTTTGATACTTATAATATCTCTATTTTTGTGGTATAAACGTGTGTTTAATCCTCTAAGAAGGTCATAACTCCACTTTATTTATAAAGGTTCCCTCGAATTTGATGCCAGACCTTCTCCAACAGTCTATCATGTTATCTCCAGGATGGTGAAAGACATTAAGAATTAATTTAAATATATGTATTAATTAGAACTATATAGAAAGAAGTAGAAAATAGCATCCGATGAATTTCAGGATTGTTTCGAATTTGAATTTCACATTATCGGTGATAAGAGTGATGTTGTTTATCTGACAAAAATCAAAGGGAATACAAGATTAGATTTATTTATATTTCATTCACACATTTAGGGAATCTAAATTATAATTTTTACTAGAATCTAAGCAGCGCTATTTTTCCTGTGTTAAAACAATTGAAAATAGGGTGTGTGGGGATTAGAATCGAAGGTAAAACGTTTGTTGGATGGGGAAAATTGAGCTTCCACCCCTTTCAAAAGGAATCCATTTTGGCCACTTCCATAGATGAATTATCCCATTCGCAGTTTGTATCCAGCTATTCAGTCTATCCTAAACATAGCTGTTTGCTCGTATTAAGAAAAAGTTTTTGTATACGCTTTCTTTTAATCACCTAAACATCAAAGATATCAGTAATAGCATCAAGACGAGTCCACCATGGCGCAAGTATGAAAAAGGAGGCAATTTCATATTCAGAATAAAAAGGACGCAGAACAGCAGCCATTGAAAATTTGACATGGATGAAACAAGTATACGTCGAGGGCGTAAACAAAATGATATAATTTTTGCTTGTAAATGTTCAACAGTCTTTTGTTTTTATAATTATTTTATATTCTTCAAAAACATTCCTTATAAAATATTGCATAAAAATGCATTGATGGTATGGAAGATGACATCATGTGGGAAAAGGCGACGCCGGGACCAATTCCAAAGTCAGATGTGACAATGGGAGCGAAGAATCATTTTCGATACATGGTACTGTCAGTTAGAGTAATTACAGGTTCATATATGCCTTTGAAAGTTTTTGAATCTGGTAAAAAATTGATTATTAACTTCCTATTATTTCTCATTTATTTTTTTAAAAAAATTCTGAGGTATCATATATTGATGAACTTTTCACACAATCTTTTATTTTTTCCTCCAAAACCATTTTGGGGTGCGGTTTAGAATTAATATATATGTCAATATTTTTTCACAAAAAGCATTTTGAGAATTTCGGGTGAAGCTTAGAATTGTGATGGTGGCTTTCATTCGGATAAATACTGTAGTTTAATTAAGCTTAACATCACTTATTAGAATTTTTTAAAAAAATGTTCTCGGCATGCTACAAAATTTTGAGCTCTGTTCAAATGACGCATGTGACATCGAAGTTCACAATTCTACTTCTGAACTTTCACACTACACTTTTTAGAACTTTCCAAACTTCCATTTTCTTACAATTTGATCTGTGTGTGTGGAAGAGGGAATCAAACCTCTAATTCACAACATTTTTATACTGAATTGAGAATCTATAAGTTAAGCTTCTATTATCATTGATTGCAACTTAAGTTATATTTCATGGATGAATTTTTACGATGAATTAAAATGAAATGTGTTAAATCTTGCTCTTATCTCTGTAATATTTCTTAAAAATTTGAATGATGCATTTTTTTTCTTTTAAGTAAATCTTATGTTTCACAGGATTAAATTTTAAATAGTTAGTACTGATCAAGAGAAAAACGATCTTGTTGTTAGTAGTTTTTTTTAAAAAAACTATTTTGAAAAATTGAATCAACTTGAATTTATATGTATACACACAAGGGGTATCATAAAATTTAAATTACTACTAAAAATAACCGAAATGGAAATTCAAAATTTATTTCCTTCTTTTCTTAAGACAAAATAGTCACAATTCAGAGTCATACATTTTTCCTAAAGTTTCTTGACTGTCGAAGGTCACGATTTAAGGCTACACAATATCCTTTTTCAAAAAAATGTTTTTGGAGACAGTAAAAATAAAAATAATTTATGTTTTACAATCAGATTATGTTATTAAGTTGATTCTAAAAGTTAAAAGTCAGTTTTACCAGCCATTATTTTACAATTTTAAAAAAATTAAGAACTTTTGGAAGTATTTTCAAAGTCCTATAAAATGCTCAATTTTTTAAATTGCTTAGTCATTTTAAGTGATTAATATTTTTTAGGTTATGAAAACAAAAGTTTGTATGCATTTGAAAATCTGCTATCTTTTTGGTTTTAGCAATTATTTTTATAGCTAAACCTGGAAAAAACACGAAAATTTTAAAAATATTAAGTATTTTTAAATTATTAACTAGAGATCTCAGATATAATTCCATTCGAACACTTATAGAGCATACGTTTGGAAATGTATACAAAAAATTTCAAGACCATTAAGGAACAGAAAAAAATGTTTAGGGATTAGAAAACACTTATACCTTAAAAATTAAGTCTGAGAAAAACGCATTTAAAGTTTGTAAAGGCATGTAACAAAAACTTATAATGTCCGTAAAGCTCTACTGTTTAACATGTTATTTTCTGATGCATGATGTACATTAAAACACTACTTTAATTAAATATGACAGAATAAAACTGTTTTAATTCAAAATATATTTTTACATAATATTAATAGCATTTCTTACGACGACAGTTTATTCATCTTAATCCTAACCTAACATTTCCACAAACGTTTTAAAACATAAAGCATTTATGTACAAAATAATAACGATGTTAACTTAAGCTAAAAATCGCCAGTTTTGTACATACATTTTTTAACATTTAAATTGGGGCAGTTTAGCAAGTTTGAATTTTTGTTGCGTTACTTTAAAATACCAAAATATAGTACTGCAATATTTTTTACTATAATGTAGTTTGGTACATCATGGAAATATTTAGTTTTATCTACAATATTTCAATTCAGAAATCTAATTGTAGAATCTTCATTGAAGGCTGATTTTTAGATACACATCATTTTTAGTTGTATTCCATCTCTCTGAAAAGTTGTTTCTCATAGCAACCTGAGAACATTTTGGCCATGACATTTTCTCAAAAGAAAAAAAAAATAATGATAAAGTTTCTGAGTTATATAAACTAATTTTAAAACAAAAATTGGCTTTAAAATCAATCTTAACTAAGATACCAAGAGAACTCAAAAATCTCAAAACGTAATTGAGCAGCAATGGTTTTAGTAACGAAAATTGGAATTAACAACCATTTCAAGCTGAACGAGTTGATTGTGCTCATAAATATTTTTAATTACCGTAAATTCCGGCGTATAATGCGCACCTATACTTTCAAGCTGACTTTTTTTTATAATTTACAGGTATATTCGCCATATAATGCGCACTCCCTATTTAACGAAGAAATCTCTGAAACATTATTATACATTGCTTTTATGATTTGAAGTCATTTACTCGAGGTATTTTCCCAGACTTTTGAAAAAATAACATACTTATAGAACTAAACTCTTTTAGTTTATAAGACAAGTCATTTCTTTTAAATAAACAAATGCTTCGATACATATAGAATGAATTTTTTTTTATTTTTATCTCCGTTGTTATTTTTAAAGCTATTATTTTTATACCCGGCGTATAACGCGCACCTTTAAGTTCCGATATTATTTTTTGTGTTCTAAGTGCGCGTTATACGCCAAATTTTACGGTGATTTAATTTAAGTGTGGAAAAATGTTTTAAAATGAAATCAAAACCAAAACATAAGCTCAGAAAACTTCAAATATCTTAAAAACTAGTTTGATATCATATCTAAAATTTGGTGGGCAGCTTTCCAATGATATAGGACACAAGAAAATGAAAAAAAATTTGTTTGGTATTTTTGAAATTTATAAGGTACTGTATAGTCTTAAAACTTTAGCAGATTGAGTCGAAAAACATTGTTCCATCACATTTTATGTTGTTAATCAGATTTTGACAAGATTAAGAGATTTGACTACATTTATGTTGTCAAAACTCTGATCCTGCAGTATTTTTTAAGTTCTTGGAGAATAGGATTGGATAAGGCAATATTTTAAAAGCACAACACGTTTTGGGTTTCTTGTGAATAAATATTAATCTATTCGACTACCCTAAAATTGAGAATTTTGCCAGCATATGACAATGTTTTTATGCTTTTATTTTATAAGCCAACTTATTAACTTTATCAAAATACCAAGTTTATTATTTCCCATTCAATGGAACAAAAACTACAAGTGTTTTATTAAAAACAGATGCCATTACTTTAAGCTAAAAGTCATACTTTAAAATGTGTTTTACTCGAAATCTGTTTTTTTAAGAATGCTCAAACGGGATTGGTCAAGAAGTTTTGAAAATAATTAAATAAACTTTTTTTGTGTATGTTCTGTATAGTATAAATGTGTTTTATTTCAAATTTTACAGACCCTTATGTGAATATAATCACTGTTTTCGTATGCAATTTCATATAATAACTAAGATAAAGTGCTCTAGTTTCTGTAAAAATTAAAATATCTCTAATCCTGTAGGTCATTTCAAAG